CAGACCTAGGTGGTATTTACGACATCACCCGGTGGTAAATCCGAAGAGGCCTGAAAAGGTTAGAATAGTCTTCGATTGTGCAGCCACTTATCAAGGAATTTGTCTAAACCAACATTTGTTGTCAGGACCAAACAACGTACCTAACTTAGTTGAAGTACTGCTGCGCTTTCGCTTAAGCAAACTAGCTGTGGCAGTAGACGTACAAGAGGTGTTTCTGCAGGTTAGAATGTCTGTATTTGACTTGGGGGCATTAGGGTTCCTATGGTGGCCTGATGGAGAACTAAATCAACAACCAAAGGAATATGTAATTTAAGTTCACCCATTTGGTGCCAATTCGTCGCCATTTTGTGCAAATAACGCCTTACGCCGCACGATCGAATCATTCACAGACATAGGCAATGATCGTACGAGATGTGCAATCGGACGATACATTNGAGATGTGCAATCGGACGATACATTAACGTCAACGACTCTTTAGCATCGTTTGACGATGCTTTTCGTGGATCAATTAGTAGTGGCTCTTAGAAAGGGAGTTTTCCGGATATGCAAACATTTGAGCAACTGCAGTCACGCCGTAGGCAATATTCCAGAGAGCGCAAGGGCGGTTAATTGTGCACAGCTAAATATGAATCTGGATGATCAGGAGCGTACTTTAAGCATACATTGGCTAACTGTTGACGATGCCCTCGTCTTCCCGTTTGAAGAAATCCGGAAGCCATTCACTAAAAGCGGACTGCTATCGTATGTTGCTTCTCTGTATGACCCTCTGGGTTTCGGTACTCCACTGTCTTACGGGCAGAGTATTGCTACAAGCACTTTATCACAAAACCCTAAAATGGGATGAACTAGTAGGTGAGAATTACCGGCGCACTTGGGAATCTTGGGTTAGTGAGGTCAACAAATTGAAGGAGCTAAAAGTGCTGAGGTGTATGGGAAGTGAAAACCAGAGAGCCCGGGAGTCAGCGCAACTGCACATATTCAGTGACGCGTCTGATTCAGCTTATGGGACCGCAGCATACCTGAGGGACAACATAAATGGTAATGTTGTATGTAACCTGGTTATGGCTTAATTCCACGTGGCTCCAATTAAGTCAGTTACCATACCAAGACTGGAGCTGGTAGCTGCCATTGTAGCGACTAAGTTATGTGATACCATAAGCCGGGAGTTGAATATTTCAAAGAAGTCTATATTCTACTGGACTGATTCAACATTTGTGCGTTATTAGATAAATAACAGATCAGCTCGTTATAGCACATTTATAGCCAACCGATTGGCTATAATTCATGGAGTTCAACACCTCAGCAATGGTATCATGTAAAGGGAAAAATTAATCCTTCAGACCACGGCACTGTTTGAAGGCCAACGACCGGAAGTGAGGAAAATGGCTCTGGAAGCCGCCATTCCTGAGAAGTTTAGATAAGGTTCCTCCATTCAAATTGGTCTCCAATGAAGAAATCAAAGGGCAGATTGAGCTTAGGCGCACAGTGACTATCTACCAAACAGCCGTCACCATGAGTGTCAATTTACTTTATAATCATTTGCAATGGTATAAGCTGTTACAAGCGACAGCTTGGTTGAGGCGCTTTACACAATATATCAACGTAATGTTTGGAAAGAAAGGTACCTTGTCACTACGAGTGGGTAGACTTTCGACATTAGAGACTGAGCTTGCATGCAACAATGTTGTGCTTCTGGTTCAAGCAAAATCGCATTCGGACGATCAGATTTTGCTATTTGACCGTAAGAGACACGTGCACAGTGGAAGTCCCTAAGGGAATTGTGTCCAATTTTAGTAAATGGAATGCTTCGAGTTGGTGTAGACTGCATTACGTGCACTTGGCACATGACGCAGAACACCCACCCAAAACACCATGTACCCGGAATTCTCATAGGTCACTTTCATGAGAAGGGAGGTCTTTCAGGGCCCGAGCACGTGTTGCCTG